GAGACACAGAAAAACCTAAAAAGCATATGAGTCTTCCTATTTTAATTTCCTATAATCTCATCTTGATTATCAATCAACAATTTAAATGTCAACTATAAACCCAGAATTTTATTAGGTGCCATGCAATATAGCTTGTAAGACAGTCTCAAACTTTGTCCCCTCAAATTGAAATGCAGGCTTCCTTACCCCTCCAGACCACTGACGGAAAAGAGTGAACACACACTAATTCTTCAGGACCCTAATTAATAGTCACCTTCTCTGTGATGACTTCCATGGTACACCCCTGCTAACACCATTGAGCTTGATGGGCTTTTATATGCTCTCATAGCACTCTGTATATATTTCTTATTTTAGCACATACCCCAGTGCATTATAATTATGATTACATATAGGTGTTTTAACTATTGGGCTGTCAGGAAAGTCATAAGACGCATTTTTGCAACGAAAAACATAGAAAAAATACATCATAACTTTTCCGACAAGCCAATATTTAAAAACAATGATTTTTTTTCTCTTTACATCTTGTTATTTCTCTTCCCATAATATCTCTTGAAGAGAAACTATAAAAAAAAGAACACAAAAAACAGAAAATACAAAATATTATATATTTGTGTGGCTTGTGGCTTAGCACAACCTTAAGTAAAATTAGTTCAGAAAGTATCGAGCATGAGAAACTTTCATGGTACAAGTGAGACTGGACCAAGGTTTGAGCAAGCACAGGATCCAATTTAGGTAGAGGCGGCACCAAGAAAAGGTCCAGATAGGAATTAATGTGGTGTGTAGGGTATCATGAGACCAGTCTGATGGGAAGAGACTTAAATAAGATTGAAACTCACTTTCTAAACCTCCATCTCCAACTGGACAATTTGCAAGAGACAGGTGCACCAAAGTGGCTGATTTATTCAATCCCTTTAATGAGGAGAAAAGATTAAAAAAATTATTGGTTTACTGCCCCCAAAAGCAACTACCAAATGTTCTCAGGACACAATGAAGAAGGCTTACTTTTGTTAAAACAGTTAAATCTCTCTCTCTCAGAACTAGTCCGTTTAACTCCAGATTCTTTAGAGCACTTGATGCACTTAAACAGCATTTAAGAGCTTTACAGAGCTGGAAGGTCACATCTTTGTTTCTTATAGCAGGAACACGACTTCTACAAACTTTACTTCTGTCAGAACCTAAAGAAAAATTATTGTGTTGTTAGTGATTTCAATCAGACATTTTATCATCATTAAAAAGCATTTGCTCTGTGCTAAGGCATATAAATTACTCCTCTTAAAAGTTCTCTTTAAGGAGGGACACATGTAAACTCAAAACTTCAACCACATGAGATATAAAACATAAACTATGTGCATAGACATTCCCATGGAAGCTGCAAGTTATATTTAAGTGATGGCTTCAGAATAACTCTGAAGTTGAATGTAGAAAGATGACAATGACTAAACAGAGTCTGAGTGGAAGGTGCATTAACTGCAGAGGGAACCCAAGTGCAAAGACTTCCAAATGTGACACCTGCCGGACACTGACAATATTGCAGGTGGGGATGAACAAAGACCGGGTGTGCAAGAGGGAGAAGGGACAGGAAAATAGGATTGGCTGAAGCAAGCTTGGGAGAGAGTATGCCTTTTATCCTACAGGTGATGAGGACCAGGGCTACTATTGGAACAGTTTCCTCTGTAGGGTAGAAAAAAGTGCTCTTCTGCTAACAACTAGTTAGACAAAGGGAATGATTAGAGAAAGCACCCCTTCCTCAGGGCCAACCAGCCCCCTGAGGCTTGGCAGAGCACAGCTCAGATTTCATATCTCTGTGTAAACACAAGCTGTGCAACCAACATGCACTAATCCTGTGGGAGTGGGTCATTACAAGCATTATTTTAAGCATATATTTTCATTTTAGAAGATCACTCAAGATGAGTAGGCAGATGAATTGAGAGAAACTGAGCTCGGAGGCAGCAAAACCAGCTAGAAGCTTCAGCAACAGTCCAAGCAAAATGTAATTAAGGATGAAGAAGCAAATCTAGGAGGTTAAAATCTACAACCTAGACCCACTGGATGCAAGCGATAAAGAAGGTCCAGTGAGGGAACGCTGAAGAGAATGGTCTCTGTAATACCACCTTTTTCTTATATTCAATGTAAAATATTAAGCAAGATTAAGTACAATGGCCTTGATTCTAAGGTCCCTTCCAACTGGAATTTCTTTTGATTTCTAAGTTATTACTTTGCCTAAGTCCCTTCAGAGGCAGAGAACAGTTCCTACACCTGAATGAGAGGCAGAGAATAACCTGAGTTCTCTTAACCAGGTGATGAGTTGAACTGTCCTTGCAGAAGAGGTAACAGATGGCGCAAACCTCAGAGCCTAGAAGAGGGCCAGGCACATGACAAGTGTTCAGGTTTTTAAAAATAAGTCAATAATCATTTCCTTTCCTGGATCTTCACACCCTTCCTCTCTGTTGGCTACTTTCTCTCAACTTATAAACACATTCGAGTGTGTCCATTTAAGAAACATCTTTCAGATCTAGATTTTCTGGGCCTTCTTTGTGGGTAAACTCAGTCTCTCCCATGTTTTCGAACACCTGTCCTCCCATAGAGCCCAGATCTGTAGCCTGGGCCAGACCTGTCTAGCAGACACATTTGGATGCCCCACAGGCCGCTCTTAAAGCATCAAATATGAAGATCCTCTTCCCCACTCCCAATCCCTTTGTACTGTGCTCTGCGTCTCACAGGTAAGTGCTGCTTTAAACTGTCACCCAAGCTGGCTGCCCTCCCTCTTCTAATTGGTCACCAGGCCCCATCCATTCAATCTTTTGATCTTTGTAATCCAGTCCTCCCTATCTGTACCTTAATGGGGACCCTAAGGTTACAATTTGCCCTCCTCCCCAACTGCCTTCCATAAGGACGTGAGTTTTCAAATCAAAAGATATCTCGTCATCTTTGAGTGTTTCCCACAGCCTAGGGGACAAACATCCAACCTTTTGATAGGGTAAACAAGGCCCTTCCCTGTTTTAGCTCCCACCAGGTTTCTAGTCTGAACTCTCACTTCTTTCACAAACCTTAAGTTCTAGTCCTGTACCTAGATTTTGCCATATGTTCGTATATTTCTAAAGCTTTGACACAAGCAGCTCCCTCCTGTCATCTGAGTAGCTTCTACATTCTTAGAAAGGATGGCGCCTCCGCCACGAAGCCTTCCCTGAAACTTCTCTTCAAATATTCTGTCTCTGCAGCACCATAACTCACTTGTTCCAGAGTACCGACCACTGTGCTTGTGTTCACTTGCAGCCTCCCGAGTAGAAAGAGAGAGATCCTCTAGGGCAGGAGCCTTGACTAGGCAGTGCTTGGGGCTGACTGAGCTCATTCAAGTGCCAGGATACTTTATACACATAACCTGCAAATTCTAAGAGCCCATGGAAAAAGTGGTTTTTAATGTCATTTCACAAGTGTGGTGATTGTAGTTCAAAAGTAACGTGCCCAGGTCAGAGCGTAAGCCCTGAATTCACACCGTAGGCTGCGTTCTCACCTGTGCTCTTTCCACTATATGATGCTATTATTAAAACAATTTTTCCGCCTAATAGAACCCTGTCTTAAAATGAAATGACAAACAGAGCTAGACTGAAGAACAAAAGGACAACAACTTGGCTGTTCCCCTCCCCCGATTCCCCAATAAAATCTAAAAAAAAAAAGAAGAAGAAATGAAGTAAAAGGGTGGTATGGATCAATTTCCTAGTCGCTTTGTTCTACATTAGGCAAAGTCACTCAATAAACTAGGTAACATCTGTCGAATGCTTAATGATGTTCACAACTCCGCTAAGTGCTCTACAAGCATTAACTCCGCGAATCCTTGCAAATACCACATAGAATGAATGGGCCCTGTTACGCCCATGTTACAATTAAGAAAAGAGGCCTAGAGGCTTTAAGGGACTTGCCCAGGGTCACCGAGCTAGTAAGACTCCTAGGCCGCACGCACCGTCCCCTGGAAACACACCCCGGCACTGGGCACCCCTCCCAGCGCCCAGGTTCCACCTTGCACCGTTTAAAATCCCGCTTCGCGGCACCACCACTACGGCCATTGGAAGCAGGAACTACAAACCTATTTCGGCAAGCCACGGCTGGAAGAAACTCTTGATCGAGACCAGGGGCAGATCTTTATTAATCCTGAGGGTGCTCAAGAGCGGCGCCCAGTCCACCAAGCGGAGGCGGTCGGCGTTGAAGTCCAGCACGCCCTCCCGCAGGCAGGCGCGCACGGCGGGCAGCGGCACGGAATCCTGGAGCGCGCACAGGTACTCATAGTGCGAGAAGAAGTCGGCCGCGCTGTCGCGGCGCAGCTTCACCGAGTCGATCATGGCCAGAGGGCAGCCTCGGAGGACGCCGGCGGTGGAGACGACGCCCGCACCCGCCTAGAACTCCAGGTCGCTGCCTGGCTCCCGGGACGCCCACCGCCCGGCGGCTGCGGCCCCGCAGCGTGTGCAGGATCAGTGGCTCCGCCAGCAGACGCAGGGCCCGGGGCCCGAGCTAGGCCGTCCCTCAACACCGCTCTCCCGCGCCAACTCCCGCTCCGCGACGCAGGCCGTTGGCACCACCCTCAACACTCTCCGCAGCGCGGGGCTGCGGTTCAAGCGGGTGGGCGGGCGGATGCCTGCAGGGGCGGTGCGCGACTACGTCAGCGCGCGCGCCGTGCGTCGGCACGCAGGTCCCGCCTCTCGTGGAGACGGCGCCTGAGGTTGAAAGGCGGGACGTTTAAGGCGAGGGCAAGGCAAAAGCTGAGTGGTTTCAGGAATTTGGGGTTCCGTAGAAGGTGTTCCGAATAGAAGTGAGATATGGAGGTAGCAACGCATTTTAAAAAGTAATCTGAACTCCTCATAAGTGTCTGTGCTTGCATCGCCCAGAAGAGTACAGTTAATAAGGGATGTAGGAACGACTGTGGTCCATTAAATCTTTCACATCTGTGTTAATTTCTGCGAAGAACTCTTAATTTCTGTAGTTTCTACTTATCTCACAAGGTTGTTGGCAAATTGTAAAGTGTTCCATGTATTCAGAGCATTATTGTGGTTACTCCTAATTTCTTTGCACTGAGGATAATAATGATGATGGGTAACTCTGGTAACTAGTACTTTCTGTCTCCTAGGCGTTATTTTAAGCACTGAGTTAGTATGAAATCATTTAATTTTCCTAACAACTCCACAGAAAGTTTAATATATCCATTTTACAAAAGAGAAGCTGAGGCACAGGAAGTTAACTAACTTCCAGCTAAGTAAGTGGAAGAACTGAAGGCAGTTGGTGTTAAACAAGAAAGCCATTAGACTGATATGTGGCTCTAATGTTGTGGTGACTGACCCACATACACAGACCAAAACCTAAGCCTGTAAATGCCTCACGGTTAGGAAGGCAAAAAGATAAGGACAAGTTATTACAAACAGCCAGCCAAGCTTTAAGCTGTAGTCTGTCAATAATTTCCTTGCTTTGCTTCCTCCTTTTTCCTACAAAAAAGTCTCTCCCAGCTCCTACTGGTGCAGCGCTCCTAACTACTTCCAGTTTGGTGCTGTCCAATTTGAATTGATTTTTGCTCAAATAAACTCTTAAAAATTTAAATATGCCTCAATTTATCTTTTATCATTGGTCTCAGAACCAGTTTCTGGAACGATGATAGTCATCCAGTCAGGCCTTAGGCCAGCGGTTCTCAACCTTTCACAGGGGTCACCTAAGACCATCGGAAAACATATTTTCGATGGTCTTAGGAACTGAGACACCGCTCCTCTGTCTCCAGGCCCACATGCAGATACGCCCACATACGAGTACCCGGGGACCCCTGTGAAAGGGTCGTTCCACCCCCAAAGGGGTGGAGACCCACAGGTTGAGAATCGCTGCCTTAGGCATTATGTTTACAGCATTCCTCTTCCATCCACTGCATTCCGGATACCCCCACTACCAACATGCACACACTCCACTAAAATTCCCTAGACGTGGTCAATAATGACTTCTACATGCAACATGCTCAAATTATAGTCATGCACCACACATGACAGACTGTATATATGACGCTGGTATACCATGTATATAGTAGGCTATACCATCTAGGTTTGTGTAACTGCACTCTATGATGTTTGGACAATGACAAAATTGCCTAACAATGCATTTCTTAGAACATAGCCCTGTCAATTAGGTGGTGCATGATTATGTAGCAAACATACCTCTACCCTCCAGCCAGCTTATGAATTGAAATATTACTCTTCCTGTTGAAGAACTCTGTGTAGCCAGTCTCCCGATCACACCACTCTCTAACTGACCCTGGATAACCGCTCTTCTGAACTTGGTATTCATCATTGCAAAGTATGTCTTTATATTTCTGCTATATTTACAAGTACTTTAAAACAGCATATAACATTCTACTATGTTTTCTTCTGCTACTTTATTTAGTGTTATCTTTGCTAAGTTCATCCATGCTGACTAATGGAGATCTAGTTCATGTATTTTCCTTGCTGTATAGGATTCCCATGTAGGAAAATGTAATAATTTGTCTGTTCTCCTGTTGATGGCAATTTAAATTATTGCCAGTTTTCAGTATGATTTCTTTGTTGCTATATCCATTTTTTTTAGTCTTCAGCATCACTTAATTTAGTTGTCCACTGTCTTCTTAAAGCTCCCTGTTTTCCATGAAGCCACCTGATTCCACTTCTCTAATTCCTTCTTCTCTCACTCTTGGGTATCTCTTGCTTGTTCATTCTAAATGTTGGTGTTTTTCAAGTTCCCATCCTCAGTGTCCACCCCTTCTGACATTTCACAATTTCTCTGGGTGATCTTATCCCCTGCTCAGGCTTAACTTCCATTCTAGGCTGATGACTTTTAACAAAGATCTCTCTCTCTCTCTCCATACATAAGACTGCTTCATGGAAAGCTAGAGATTTCTCAGTGCCTGCAGTGTCAAATTTGTATTTTTTAGCTTGCCATATAGGCTCCTTCATGATTTGACTGCTATTTCTTGCTACATTCCTCCCTGAATGTCTTCTCAACAAATGAAACTGCTTGAAGTTTCTGATGGTCAATCATTCCTGCCTGGGCCTTTACAAATGCTGTTCCTTTACCTAGGACCCTCCTCCTCCACTCCTCCTTAGTGGGCAGACTTCCACATGTTTCCCAGCTTCTGGATGGGGACCACCTTCCCTGGGAGGCCTTTCTTTCCTAGCCCTCATCTCCTTCCCTGCTTGTTTAGTGCCTAACGGCTCTGCTCCCTGACATCCCTGTATTGTAACACTTAGTATATCCAATAATGAGCATCTTTTTAGATGGTTTTCCTTCCATAAACCGTAATCCCTTTGAAGGCAGGAACCATGTCTCATTCGTGCCTATATTCCCTATCTCTAGCACAGTGTTGGTACATAGGAAATGCTGAATAATGACGATTAGAGAATTCTCCTCTGTTCTCCCTGGAAGCCATTACCAACACCTTATGGCCGCTGCCTAGAGATGCAGCTCAGGGAAACCTTCATCATATTAACATATTAATCTAAAATTTATTTCCCCAAGCTTACTTATTTTCTGCCTGGCAAGATTCCTTTCAAGGCTTAATAATCTGATCATCTCTTCTCTACTTCCATTTAATTATAGCTTAATAGTTCTTTTGGCTCCTACTTTAGTTCTTCTTTCGGTATCTGGTGGGTTCTACCCACATGCTCCCTGAACACGGTGAGCAAAAGCTACCTCCGCACAGCACCTCTGGGATCCTCTTAACAAACCAGGTTTATGCCTGGCCTAAGACAAAATGCTTTGGCTTCCCTGCAGCTATGTGTCTTGGAAAGAAGATGCAGTACAAGAGGTGGGCTCTTCTTCAGGGGTCTGGTGAGGGAATGTTTCACTAGAATACAGCTACTCGTAAGTGGGATCGTTTTACCTCTTATTCACTGTACTCGCTCCTAGTCCACCCTGACAACGTTCTACTCAGACTTTCAAGCCAAGCTACCTTTCCATGGAGCCTCAATGCTATTGCTGTCTGCTCATCTCTAACTTTCATCATCTCTGGACCAGCTTTTAGAGCAATGAGTTTGTTGGATCCAGTCCCAGAGCTCTATCAAAACATAGGCTGCCTTATTTTAAGTGACATGTGGTCCTCATTTCTTTTTTCCACTCCCTTACTTATAGCTATTCACAGTGGTTCTTCCAAACCTCTTCCATTTTTTCATGTCACCACTAGACTCTGTTCTATGTCCCTACTCTCTTACCTAAAGAGGATACCTCTTATTTCACCAGGAAACTTAGATTCCAGACACAAGCTTCCTTGTCTTTCCACTAACTCTGGCCGCCTTCTAATCCACGGTCCATAATGCTGCCACCACCACCTCCTCTTCAGATCCTTGCATGACTTCTCATTGCTGTTAGACAAAGACATGCCTCCTCACAATGGTCTAAAATAGTGCTACTCAGCGTGAAGTCCACAGACTGTCTACTGGTTGAGAGCTGTTACTGTTCTTTCAGATAAGAAGCTTGCTTCAGAGTGTAAATCGTGTCTGTTGAGTTCAGCAGGCAAGGCTTTCTTGATGAAGGAAGCGGTGTGTTGAGTTACATTCTAGAACAGCTCCTTATCTCACTGTGCACTGGCACTTTGAGTGCACCAGTCTACAGGGCACTGCATCCCCTGGGCATGATGGAGGCATGGCCTCTGCAGCCTTGCCTTGTGCTCACTCCCTTTCGTTCTCAGTAATCCATCCTACAATGGCCTCCTTTCAGGCCTGCATGCTTATAGTGGTTCATTGTCCATGGTACTCCTCCCAAGGCTTTTTGATTATGCCATTGCCCTGTTCCCAATCTTCCATGGCACCCATCGCCAGCACACTACATTCCAAACTCTTTAAGACTGACATTTAAGACTATCCATAATTTGGCTTTCATTTCTCTTTTCAGACCAAAAAAAAAAAAATCTCATGGGTCTAATTGTCTGTATATCTTTGCTCCATTCCAGCTCTACCTGTTATAATACTAAAAATTTTTCTAGTCACCGACCATATGCCCCCTTCTCTGGAAAACTTCACTGAGAATCCAAGCAAGATATGGATCCCTTCTCTGCTCTGAACTTATAAACAGTTTAATAGGACTGATCTGGAACTGCCATAAGGCATCTGTCCACATCTTATCTGCCTCTCTGGTATCAAGTTCTCTGAGAGTGGGGATACACCTCTGCATTCAGTGCAGTTCCCAGCACAATATTATACACATAGTCAACCTGATCAGTAAATATTTGATGATTGAATGAATGAATGGATCACCATGAGAACACATTCTCTGACCATTTCTCTCTTTTTTCACTTTCAGGTTTCTGTAGTTATGTTTAGATAATACAGTACGCTGCTTCGGAGCAATACAATACCCAAGTTCACAGAGTTGCAAATAGCTTCTAGGAGCATCCCTCCACCACTTTAGAACAGCGTGTTCTCCCTCTCAATTGGAGAGAGCAGGATTCAATAGTTATTAAGTGCCTTTGTTCACTTGGCATTTAGAGGCACTGGGGACATCAGTGCTCTGTGCTCAGCAAAGTGCCCATTTTGATTGTAATTTTCCCCTGTGAATAACAGCGATCCATAAAGACGCTCCTTTACAGTTTTCTATCCTTTTAGAGTCATAAAAAGCATTTTGACTACATACA